TTTGATTTCATCAATTCTTTGAGTCACTTCATTCAAGAGCAAATTTTAGAGTCTCTCCTGACATCTATTTTGGTCTTTTCTTTATTTCATGTCTTTTAAATAACCTTTGACTTTCTTCATGTTTGATGTACTTCTTGCCATCCCACAACTCCTCTGTCTGCTGTAATTAGTGTCTAATGTTTCATCAGTGTTCCTGAGATGGTCTTTAAATTCAGATGCTCAAGGTCATCTTAACTCTTTTTAATTTGTTTTAGTTTTCTTCAGCTTCAGCCTGAACTTGCATGTGAGCCACTGATGACCAGTTTAACCTGTTTTAGAAAAGTTGTAGCAGTCTTTGGGGCTATAACATATTGAGATAATTCATGAATTGTTGTTGCTGTTTTTGTTGTTAACTGCTGTCAAGTTGGATCAGACTCATAGGGACCTTGTATAAGATTTCCAAGGAGCAACTGGTGGTTTTGAACTATCAACTTTTTGGTTAGCAGTTCATTGCTTATCCTACAACACCACACCACAACTCCAGTTCATGAATTAGTTACAATTAAAAGCTAGTTTTCCAAACCTGGTACTGATAAAGTTAATATCCTAGTTTTGAATCCTTTGAGTCTTATTGTTTGTCATGTTGTTGTAAGGTGCTGTTGAGTTGTTTATGATTTATAGTGACCACAGGCACAAGAGAATGAAACACTGCCCAATCCTGTGCCAACCTCACGAATGGTGTTACTTTTGAGTCTTTTACTGCTGCCACTGTGCCAATTAATGTCATTGGGGATCTTCCTCTTTTGGGCTGATTCTTCACTGTACAGGATATCCTTCTGTTTGGCATTGACTTTCATAATATGCATATAAATTCCCTACCTTTTCAGATTCCTTTCATCAAATATGTTAGTCATGCTACATTAAAGATATGTCCAAGTCTGGCCAGTGTTTTAACAAAAGCTTTAAATGCTAGGAAAACCAGAAAAGATACTCTGGATATATCCAAGCAATTCTATCCCATCAATGGATAAAAGACACCAGAGATCTAAAAAAGGGATTGCATTTGTAACAATAAATAGTATAAGCCATCATTATCCCTCAGCTTCAGAATTCAGTCTTTTCTTTGGCTTATATAGTTTTAGCTTTCATTCTTCAAAACTTTTCTCTTTAACTCACACTCTCATTAATATTGCTTTGAATAAAAACCTCTACAATGGTACAATGCTTACTCATGCAATGTCCATTTTAATTTGGCTTTATCTTTCTTACTCATCATCTTTCTGCATGTATATTCATCACTTAGGTGTTCTCTCCTTAGAGAATTCTCATATATTTTTCTTAAGCACAGTGTATGTATTCACAGCTCCTTGCTATTTTTGCTCATTTTCATGTTTCACTCTAGCATGCCTTTTCCTCATTACTACTTGGAAAATATATTTTACATAATCTCAAAGCTGTAGTTTAAGTGTCACCTTCTCTTCATATCTCTTTCTATCCTTCCTCATAGGAGATTTTACGTAGTAATTTGCACACAAGTTCTAAGAACCAGGGTTATAAAAACATGTCTAGTACATTAAAAAACAAAAATTATTGCCATGGAGTTAATTCTTTTACATAGCAACCCTACAGGACAGACTAGAATTCCCTATAAGATTTCCAAGATCGTAAGTTTTTACAGAAGCATATTGTCACATCTGTCTCCCACAGAACAGCTGGTGAATTCAAACTGTTGTCCATTTGTCTAGCAGTTGACCACATAAACTTTGCACCACTAGGGCTCCTCGTCTAACACATACGCCCATTGCCATCAAGTCAACTCTTGCTTATGCTGTTGTTTCTTTGAGTTGGTTTGGATTCATAGCAACACTTTGCACAAGAGAACAAAACACTGCCCATTCTTATACCATTTTCTCAGTTGTTCTTATGTTTGTACCCAATGTTGTTGTCATTGTTTCAATCACTCTCATTGTGGGTCTTCCCTTTTTCAGTGACACGGCACTTTTCCAAGTATGATGTCCTTCTCTAGAGATTGGTCCCTTCTGACAACATGACCAAAGTATGAGAAACAAAACACTGCCGTCTGTGTTTCTAAGTAAGCTTCTATGTGTGCTTCTGGCTATACTGCTTTCAAGACAGATTTGTTTGTTCTTCTG